TCTACTATTATATAAAGGGGAAAAGTTTGCATCATTGTTCGGGGTAATCTTAGAAACTACTAAATCGATTTCAAAAATTTTTACACTGGTGGATAGCTTATGTCTTCCTGAGTAACATAGGCTATGTGCCATTGTGCTACAACCCAATTTAAAAAAAAAATTCGGGATATCTAAAATTTTAAATTCTTTGAAAGGGTCGTACTTAATGACTTTTCCTGTTTAGATTTTCCTAATCAACCAAATCTTAAAGTATTATATATAAAATAAGGGTAGAAAAAACTGAGGAATATAATAGAATTCAAAAAATTGCTAATAATAAAGGAGTTATCGATTTCTGTATAAAAAAAATCTATGTAATTGCTCTGATTTCCGCAAATTTTGAGATATCAAGCTAATTTTTTTTATGAATAGAGTATATCAAAGGTAGGTTGGTATTGAATTTGGCGAGAATCGGTGAAAGGGTTGCCGATTTTTGCCTAAAAAGTGTATAAAGAAGGTTGTTATTGAATTTGGCGAGGATCGGTGAAGGGATTACCTATTTCTGCTTGAAAAGTGTATAAGTTATACATATATATTCATCTAGAGAGATATTTCAAATTTGCTAATCCGAATTAGAATCTGATCTGATGAAATATGCACTTTACCCTATAAGTTATTCTTTATATTTGTAACATTACGTCTTTATTATAAATTTTAGAATTTATAATAAAAAAGACGTTTATTCCAACAAGCTCTTTTGAAAGACTATTCGACAAATAAATAAATAAATTTGACTTTGAGTCATTGGGGAAGATCTTATGCCTCATTTGAAAAATTTGTTTGTGTCTAACGTCGCAATTCAATATCTAATAGGAGAACGCGCTATAGGAATCCTAGACAAAGAGAAATTTTATCACTACTTAATACACATTTCAACTGAATATCGGATTCCCGGATCAAAGGTATAAACCCCCTCCAATTTTCGTGTATAGCATGCGTATATATATATAGAAGTCACCTATCCAGGATTACAGAACGTTTGATTGCAAGTCGGAACAAAAATACATAAATTTATACTAGAAATTGTCTTTACATCAGTATTGAGCAACAATGTTGGCGTTCCTCAAACAAGTAATGGAAGAAAGACAGGCTATATATCCTTCAACTCGGTAACGCATATAAGTAATTTAGTTAGATAAATGTCCATATAATAATTTTTAACCATTAATTCTCATTGTTTATACAGAAACGGTACCGGCCGAATCCACTACAAGTATGAATATTAGTAAGAAATTTTTGTGGATATTTTACAATTGTCGTTTGAAATAAAGTACATGGATGGAAACATTATAAACTTGTTAAGAAGAGGAACAAAATAAAAGTGTTACAGGAGAGGATGAATGTGTTGTATCATAATGTAGTCGATGTTTTAACGGACCTAAATCTTGATGATCGTGTTGCTTTATCAACAGCTCATTACAACATGGGTTTAGAATATGTTACTTCCACAGATACTAACGATTTAAATACTGCTGTAGAATATTTTGCAAGAAGTTTGGTACTGTTAGGGGACAAACTGTTAAACCGTAAAACTATATTGCCCATAATAGGTGTACTTAACGGATTATATTTTGCAAAGAAGAAAGAGAAAGATGCTTTTAAATATGTGGATCTAGCATTAGGATGTTATGTGCTATACATGGAAAATTATTCTGATCCCATCCACATACCAAGTCTTGTTGATGTTAAAGAAGAAGAATCGAATCCTAGGATTATCTTGAACACTTTGCATCACACAACTTTGCAGGAATTAGGACGTTTATATCTTAAAAGGTGCAAAGATAAGTACAAATTTGTAACGTACATGCATAACACATTAAATATCCGACTGACAGACATGTCATCTAACAAAACAAAATTCGATGAAAAATGTCTTAATATGACTTTAACCTTATTTGATCTGTCTAGAAACTTCCTAGCAAACGATTTGTTTCCTAAAGCTAAAAGTCACATTGCTATTGGAGATTATGTAATACACAGATTTGATGAAGATATTAGATCGGAAGAGAAAGAAAGCACCTCTTGATTCGAATAAAAGTTATAATAATGCCTTAGCCGTTAGTGCTATTATAGATGTTGGGGTTTCTATGGAGTTTCTCACAGAATAAAGAAAAACCTTCTGAGATGCAAAAAAAATATTAAAATTAGAAATAGAATCTGAGGATTCAGATTTAATGTTTTCTGATTTACTAAAAAAAGAATTGGCATATATAACAACCAAAATTGCAAAAATATGTATATTAAATTTTGATGGATGCCAAAACAGTTTTCGTAAAAACTCTGAAATTATTTGAAAAAGCGAGAGAATATTTTACTGTAGATACTGACATTGACAGTTACATTGAGATAACAATTAACATTGCCGATACATACAAATATTTTGCAGGTTTTGAAGAACAAAGAGATAAACAAATAAAATTACACAAACGGCGAATAAAGTGTTTACGGTTGTAAGAATTTTCGCACAACAGTTGAGAATTATACAGAATTACGAATCTACAAACGCATTTGGTACGAAATGGTGATTTCATGTTCCACGGTTATGGATTTATGGATTTATGGTCAAGGAAGAATATTACGACGAATCATTTAAAAAGACGTCAATGAAAGCTGATTAATATGCGAAAATGATCGCAAAAATATCGATTTTTATTTAAATGTAGTTTAGATATTGTTAAACATTTAATCCTTATTAAGATTTGTATGTTTCTCATTATTTGTAATTTTGCATTGAAGAATATTATTTGAATGCATTACGCATTAAGTTATAAGAAACATATAATTCATGATTTAAAAAATGTTTTATTAATTATCTGCATTAAATTTGTCTAAAAATAAATAATTCTTGAATGTAAATCATGTTCCTTATAATATTTCCGTATGATGAACAGATGTGTAAAAATATTATTCTCACATTTATTATAGTCTTTTATTTTTATAATTATGACAGTAATTTACGATCATATAAGATTATAAATAGTATAATTTATATAGGTATATATATATATATATATATATATATATATATATATGTATAAGATTTTAAGTAATTTACTCTAATTGTATATTAAGTGATTTAAAGAATATATTTTTTTATAAATTTAAATGCATTGACAAACAGATTCCAATATTACCTTCTCAAAGCGGCGTGTTTGTTTCCAAAGTGAAGTGTTGCTAGTAATTAGAAAACTAGTCTTGCTCTGAAGGTGTCGAATTAATATTATGTCATTGCAGTCGCTGTGACATTTGCAGCAGCTCTGGCCAGAAACCCATTACCTTATTTATACTTAAAAGAACTGTCTGACTGCTGACAAAAATTATGCGAACTTCAATATCAATTTAAATAGTTATAACCAAGAAACAGAGATTTGAACGTATATTATACAGAATGTATAATTAAAACTTTCTCAAACGCATGCAGACAATCGACCAAATACATATTAATATAGTGAATTTGAGATATACTAACAGAAACTTTTCTAACTCACTCACAGCTCGGTAGAAAGTCTCATTTGCTTACTTCGTATTTTACACATATTCCCTTTCTACTTGTTCCTTCTGAAATTTTCTCTATCGACTGAAAATTGAAGATTATCTTACAGTTAAATATCAGGTATTATTAGTGAATGAAAAATATTCGCTTCCAGTTGAAATTGTATCTTTTGCAATGCTATCAATTTTCTTATCAACACAAGAGAAATTTCAATTAGTTAGTAATAAGTAAAATAATTGAATTATTGATGTCAATTTAAAATAATCTGGTAGAATATTTCAATTTAAGAGAAAGCAGGATCGCATTCAATCCAAGAATTTTAATATTTTCAAACATCTCTACTAAATTCGTTCTAAATATCCAATTTTTTCCGCATTTTGTTGTACCATTCGTATGTTGTAAATTATATCGCTGAGTATGGCACGGCCTGATCATTTAAACGATTGCTTTTATACAAAATAGAGAAATTTTCGCGTCAAATAATTTTCCTGAAAACACTTGCAAATTTTCACGTACTTATTCATTTATGTCGCAGACGAATACTTCATATATTACTTGCATCTATTATTGACGAAAGATCATTGACGAAAGTTACATTTTCACCTAAATCTTTGTAGTGCTCATGCTGCGATTGCAATAAAATTTTAATTGAATGATGACACGACGTTTTCGTGCTGGTAACACATGCGCCTAATTTTTTGTATATTGATATTTATAATGTGATAATAATTCATGCATTTTTAATGCCGAAAGTTCCGAAATATCACGTCGACGAATGTTAAATAAATCCCCGAAAGAACATTTCGATACAAAAATTAACATACTTTGCGGTGTTGCGATTTTTTTTTTAAACAGAAGGCGTTTCAAACTGACCAATCAGGTTCGCGTATGGGACGCATTTGAAGTTAGACGTTTTCG